GTCTAGTGGTTATGACACTCGCCTTGACAGCGAGAGGTCGCAGGTTCGAGTCCCGCCAGAGGCATTTTATTACACAATTTCTTTATTCATTTATTTACAGGACTACATTCGTTGAGAGCTATGCTACTTGATGTATTTATTAAGTCCTTTATTTGAACACTGTATTTACCTTTCTTTGATTATTTATATATATCCCAGCATATAAAAGCAAAGCACATAACATCATAATTCAAATTTATTAGTAAAAAAGGAAATTACATTGAGAAAGTCATTGCTCGTAAAATTACAATACAGAAAAATACATCAATATGAAAATACAAAATTATAAGAAATACAAATACATACAAATACAATTAATTTACAGTATAAAAAAATTAGATTGGGTAGTAATAAAAATCAACTATTAAAATTACAGTGTTAATTAATTGCACAGAGAACCTCAATACAGTAAATTGTGAATAAAATTACCGTACCCGCACTAATAAGTGCCCTATTTGAATAAGCGCCCCTCTCGAATAACCGCCCCTCATAACGTGAAAATTTCCTTAATTGCCCCGTTTGCATAAGCACCCCTTCTAATTTGAATCAGCGCCACCTCATAAGATTTTCTTTTCAGAAAGTCAATAATCCAATCAATCCTGGAACTGTGGTTGTTGGCATGATTTGAGCTGTAGAGTGGAAACACATTCTTCTTCGGTCAATATCAAAATGAGGATATTTCTCTTGGACAGATGAGAGCTCCGATCCCTGGACAGACAGTATATTTCCAACTTTACTCTTTTCACCCTATTTGTCTATGCCTAGTCCTACTCCTCTTCTTTTTCCAACCTTTAGCACATTCTCATCTGAGTTTTCAAGAAAAAATACAATGACCCTGCCATCCTGCTAATCTCAATCGGCCGATGGCCAACAAGCTAACCACTACCCACCACCACTAATTACATCTGCTATTTTGCTGTTATGTAAATATTCACGCATTTTGTCATGAGCCATGTTCTCTGGACGAGTATCTTTTCTAACCACCATTCGTAATGTCCTTATATAATTTTTTTTTCATTCAAAAAGTGCCTCTTGAATTTAATAATTTCTCATAAGAACCCCTCGATTTTCATCTATTTCCATAAGCGTCCCCTCAATTTTCACTCTGTTTTCATAAGTTCCCCGTTTAAATAACCGCCCCATTTGAATAAGCGCCCCTCAGAAAGTGCAAAAAAATATTTTAAGCACCCGGGCGCTTATAAATAATATATTAGAACGAAAATAGTTGAAAAATACATTACTGGTCTGATGATCGTTAAATGCGTGAAACTGAAAGTAACAAACAAGCGTATACTTACTTCTACGATTTCTACGCTCCCGGTTCAATTCCCATTTTCTGCTCTCCTTGTGTTTCAGCTGGAGGGCTGAAATGCAAGTTACGATAGCGCACCGTCTTTCGGATGAGACATTAAAGCTGTTTAGTCCTGTATGCATTATGGCCTGTGTGCACGTTAAAGAACGCAGTACACTATTCGGAAAAGAGTAGGGGATTGTCTCCTTGTGTACTGCCCAATCACCACCAGAAGTACCCAACTGGAAATAAGTCTTCTTCAGACTTTCGTGGTTTATCCTTGGTGTTTACACCAAACAAATCCATCCAACCATCAGACAGGTTTTTTAGACATGGCAAGGAAATAGCGTGGAGTTTTAACCACAACCACAAAATCATTTTATGCTTTATTTATTTTCCCTAAAAGTATGCATCATTAATCGTTAATTCCTTTATAGACAATTTTGGTCTGGGTTCCAGGCTGAAATTTGGATTACTGTAGTAAAGACTGTTCAGTAATACACACTTTTTAATGTGCTCCGTTTATGCTAAAATTCAGTTGGCATTTTCTCTCTATATAGGCCTCCAGCCAATTAAAAACCACTGTTGGGACCGGGGTTTTCCTGGTCTTTAGCAGCTTTGGTCTTTAATTTAGAAAAATTCTTATTATAAAGATAAAAGATAGTCACTTGGAAAAAGAAAAGTTGTCTTTATTTGGAGGAGTCTTTAATTTGAACAGATTTTAATTAGAGGGAGACCTGTATTTTAAGATTATTAAATGGCCAACTTTTAAAAATTAATCGCTCGTTGATGGCGCTGTCCCAAAAGAGATAAATATTAATACATAGTAAATAGAGACTGACTTGTGGCAAGTCTATATAAGGTGATAAATATAGCATTTAAATTTAATTTTGTGGTTAATATTTATTTTTCATTGGATTAAACAGTAGTGTGCCTTCCCAGTAGCCACTTAATGTATCAAGACAGGAATCATGAAGATTATATTCTGGCTCGTTGCCTTGACATGTATGCTAATAGCCACAGTAGACTACTCAAACATTTTAACTTTTCCTATACGCAAGTCTTTAAATCCAGACAATGACAATTCATCTCTTGTTTTACCTGATGCATGATTTCACTAATTTTATTGCATTGTTTTAGTCACATCCAGAATCCATTGTTTCTATATTTTGCTTGATCAATTAGGGTAAATCTTATAAGCCTCTCGGGAGAGAGTATTTCAGTGAAGTGGGCCCTTGGTATGTAGTTGTCTTTCCTATGATCACCCTTCAGGAAAGCCGGCTGGGTTAGTCATATGCATAAGGTGTCTTGTCCTCATCTATAAAGTCTATTGTTAGTGTTCACTTATTAACTGCAAGATACATTAAATAATTTCACTCCTGTTTCAAAACTAGCTGAGCTAACCAGACAGTATTATGTTTTGAAGCAACAAGTATGTATAGACTATTGCTATTTTTTCAAAAGTTATTAAAGCATACTGTCACCTGAGCATATTAAAGAAGTTGTGTTGGGTTCGTTCAGAAGTGGATGGGGCAAAAAATATATATTAGCAAACAACTTTGAGACGATGGTTTGATTTTTACCTAATCAAGACCTTCAGTGTGATATCTTGGTTAATATTCTGGTGTTGGATTTCTATTTTTCAGAAGACACTCTTTTTTATGATGGCCATATGTAAGTTAGTTGTTCTGTTTTTGACATTGATCCCTGTGAGTTCTCAGTCAACAGGTTCATCTTGTAAAGCATACAGCAAACTCTCAGGGACATACTACAACTGCTCTGGACGAGGTGTTAGAAGTATACCAATGAACATTCCGTACCAAACGGAGACACTTTTGCTCAAAGATAACGCCATAAAACAGGTGCGCTCAAATGTCTTTGTAACTCTCACCAATCTTCACTCGTTGGACCTCTCCAATAATCGTATTAATAACATTCAAATGAGTGGCTTCCTAGGCTTGACAAATCTGCAGATATTGAACTTATCTGGTAACAGTCTTGTCCAGCTGCCTGTGGAATTATTCCGCCCCATTCGTGGTCTGGAGACACTGATCTTGTCGAATAACAGGATTGAATATATCCAGGTAGAGTTGTTTAAAGATCTTGCACAGTTGACCACTTTAGATTTGTCAAATAACCGGATTAAAAAGATACATGATAATACATTCTCTGATCTGATACATCTTCAAGAGCTCTATTTACAATCCAACAGTATCTCTACACTAACGGACAATACTCTTAATGGACTGTTGGAGTTGGAGCTGCTATATATGAAGCAGAATAAACTCCTTTCCATATCATCCGAGTTTCAGCTGCTGACACGTCTGAAATTTCTCGACCTTGGAGGTAACTTCATAACCACCATAGACCCGGATGCTTTTAACAATTTCGGCCGTCTCACTGAGCTTGGACTCGAGAACAACAACTTGTCTTCAGTTCCACGAGCAGTTGGGCAGTCATCTTCGTTGCAGCTCACATTGAGGGAGCTTTATCTTGGAAATAATCCAATTCGAGAAGTTCCTGATTCTGCATTCGGTAGGTTTACGTATCTTGAAGATTTACAGTTGGATCATATGAAGCTGTCGGAACTGAACGTTGATGCATTCAAAGGGATGCCAAAGCTGCGTCACTTATGGCTAAATAGCAACAAGTTGAAGACCATTCAGAAAGAAACAATTATTCCTCTCAGACATCTATTAAAACTACAGTTAGATGAAAATTATTGGAATTGTGACTGTAGTTTATTTGGGTTAGTCCAATACTTAGACCAACACCCAGAATTAAATGCTAAAGCTAAAGGGGAAATCCCCTGCCACACTCCACTCATACGTGTTGGCCAACCAATCACAACAGTCCTTGAGCTGTCATGTGATTTGGAAAGTGAAAATTTCCAATCTAGGACGTCATCAGACCCACCAAAAGAAATGACAAAGAAACAAGCTCTTTTGGTTGCCATACCAACAACATTCGTGATGACAATTACTCTAATGCTATTGCTGTTGATTGCTAGTTGTTCCGCCAAAAAGTGGATACAATCGTCTGTGAAAGAGAAACCAGTGAATATGCAAGCTAGACTACGCCGCCATCAAAATGTACAAAGGGAACACTCTAAAAATTACGGATTTGAAGTTCAAGCATATGCCACACTTGAGCCCCCTGTTCCAAGCCCTCTACCGACCAGGAAAACTTTACAACCCTATGCTTATGCATACGTTGATAAAAGAGGAAGCATGCAAGCTACAGTTAACCTACATTAAAGATTTGAAATTTGTTCGATACTAACAAATGCGGTAATACTATGTTACTTGTTGTATGTTGTACGTACAGTATCCTTGGTGCACTTTCAAGCATTCAAAATGGATTATCAATGACCCATTAGCAGGGAGCGCAGTGGTGCGAACTTAGCTCGCAAGCACAGTCCCCCTCCCATTGAAAATCTTCCTGCAGGCATTCATCAATGATAACTGATGGACTATAGGCCTACATATTAGATTTTATATGCAAGAATTAATCTACATCAATATTTGAACTACTGTGGCACATCAAGTACCCTTCATGGATAATAAATAAAGTTTGTGGCGCCCTCTACGGCCATCACCATGAAGTAGGTTAACAACCTAGAGTTACAATAATGATGCTAGAGCGAACTTCAATGCTTTCGGTGTTCGAAATACACAAAACTGTGTGTGTGTATACTCAACAAGATGCTTGGCGTAGATCCAGACAATAAGCATTGTTTCCAATGTAGCCCTCAACTTACACATGAAAGTTCGAATTGAATACACTTTAGCTCTCGTTTGTTGAAGCACAAGTGTTGCGGTAATGCGGTGTAGCATATACGATTTTGATTTCAATTTCTTAGTACTTTTTGTTTAAATCAGATACTCCAATTTGCCTCTATTTGGCTCGGCTAGTGCAGTTATTTATTAATAGTATTTATAATGAATAAGAAAATAATAGTTAGTCGGAGGTCTTATTTATGTAATATGTATGCTAAACCTGAATATGGTGCTTTTCTGTGGTAGCCATCTTGTTGAGTACACATACACAACTCTGTATTGCTTCGTCGCCTTATCAGCACTCTAGTTGTTTAATAGATTTATGGTTAAGCGTATTCTATAACAATGATTAGGATTTTGCATTAAACTCTTTACCTCATTTCATTTTATTTTTTTAATTTCTCCTTGAACAATAAGTTGTTGTTGCAAGATTGAAATCAAAGTATAATAAACTGTAAATAAAATTAGATTTTTTTTTTTTACCAGAAACATTAGAAATCTAGTGTTGAATTTATTTATTTTTATTCTGTCATATCCAGCAACAAGGAGACTTGCCATTTTAGAGGACAAAACTATGTCATGCTCTATTGCAGGCCTAATCAGGAATAGAGAAGATACACATTATGTCATTTTTTTTAGTTAAAAAACTGAGGGTATGGACATCTCCTTTTCTCCCTATTTATCAATTTTCAAATAGCTGTATCTTAGTTATGGCGAGACTTTTTTTTATTCCTTGTTTCGCGTACTTCTTTTTTTAAAGGTTATCGGAGGAGGGCAGAATAAAAATTAAAATAAAATTTTGTTGTCTTGTTTAGCAAATAGTTTTACCAAAATCATCCAGGAGGAGAAAATAAAAATAAAATTTTATTGGTGAATGTAAAATTGGATGGTTAAATGCTTCAAATTTATATAGTTAGGAAGAAAAATACAAATCTTATCTTTGGAGATTTCAAGGCAGTGGAGGGCGTAATAAGAATAAAGAAAAACTTATATTTTTTTAATGTAATTTTCTGTTTTTCGTGGTTGCAGGTGCGCAAAATGGCCAAAAGTAAAATTTTATTATTATTCGAAATTATCAATATTTGCAGTCAGCGGGTTCGCTAAAGGTATGAAAAAGATCTCGCCTATGGGTCATTCCGTGCCAACTCAACAAATTTTCAGAAAATCTTGGCTGGGTACCATCTCAGATTTTCTTGAAACTCAGACACAATGTGCACCAACATGTCTGACAAACAAACCCAAAATTTGACTTGCCAATTCCAAGCCGTTTAGAAGTTACAGCCATTTAAAATTTTAGGATCAGACCCCTTTTTAGCTCTCAATTATGACATTTTTGTAAAGTTGCATATTCAATTAGCCATATCTTCAAATAAAATAGAGATAATTAACTGAAAATTTATATCTAGACTAACTTTTGGCTGTAGAACAAGAATATGACATGACTTTAGGTATACCAGACCCCGTTACGAAAATATTGGTTCATAAATACCCTAACTTATTTGGTCTCGTAATTTTTCTTCCATTTTTAGACCCCATTAAAATACCCAAATCAGTTATAACATGGGTCTTATGCAACAAATTATTAATATATAGTTGGAAATGATTCACCACAGAACCTTCCTACCTACCTTTTACAGAGCACGTAAATTATGGAATGAGCTCCCATTAGATATTCACTGCAAATTTGACATTACTTTAAATATATTAAGAATAGCTTTCTTGATTTTTTATATGAATTTACTTTGTTACTTGCTTTATGTTGAATCTGGACCTCTTGGGAGACCAGAGGCCTACACGTGTGAAAGAGTACTTCCTGAATAAAGAATTTTTGATTTGATAGCTATTCCCAATTATGTACCGGTATTTATATACAAGTCAAAAAAAAGAATTGTTTTACTTGGATCATTATTTATAAAAATTATAGAATTTATAAGATAAGATAAGATACGCTTTATTGGTCTATTCACATATAAATATATTTTACCAGAAATTTTCATTGATTTTGGCATAAAAAATTAGAAATCAACACCAAACAGATCAATAAAATATTACAAACAAACATCAAATAACAATATGCAAATATATATAATAATTAGAAAATACATATTAGGGCTGTAATTGAGATTACAAAAAAAAAAGCCAAGGAGTGAAATTTAATGTAACTGCTAAACAAAATTATTAGGCTACTACTCATGATTTTGATTTTAAGTTTATTTTTTAATTTAAGTTCAATAAAAGTACCTTTTAATAGGTAATTTATTTATTTAATTTTTTTTATCTTGTAATGTGTGGCAGACATTTTGTAACCAGGGGTAGCGCCAGGATTTGCCCGACGGGGGAGGGGAGCCGATCGCCCGACGAGGGGTCAGATTTCCCTGACGAAAGGAAAGTGGGCGTGGTCGAGGTTCGATTAAAATTTTCGAAAGTGGTCCTGGCGGCCCCCGAAAATGTTGACAATTTGACGTGTACTTCGCAATCTTGACTTTTCGTAACCAAGGTATTTCAGGCCTCCAAATGTCCAGGTTGCGATGTATCAGTGGTACAGTCACTGGGGATCTGGGTTTTGGGAGGGTCTTGGTTGCAGAATGTTAACATTGTATAAATGTAATTTTGGGTTTTATTAAAGTTGTACAGTTATCTAAATGATAGCCTTATGCTACTGCTTTTTTACTTGCTTTCAAATTTGTTAGTTTTAATTTGTTATTTAATTTATTTATTTATTTATTCAGGTTCATTATTAAAACATTTTGATTTTGCAGCAGTTTGTTTGTTCTCCTTCACAGACTTGTAGAAGAACAACTTTTACCATGCTAAAATAAAGCTAATTATTATTATTATTATTATTAACTATCTAAATATTATATATTTATTAAAATTGAAGATATTATTAAAACAATTACAGTAATTGGAATTTAAATATTATCAAAGATAAATTGTACAGTTAATTCAAATGAATTGTAAGATTCTTTCTTATTTTACACCAATAATTTACATATTTTCAGGTTTAGTGGTGGCTCCAGAAATTTGCTGGCAGGAGGTCTGAACCAAGGAGCCAACTAGAGTCTCGGTCAGGGCCATACGATAAAATACCTGGTGGGGTTCATAGTAAAGTTTTTATGGCTTGAAGCCAGGTTCTGGAGGAAAGCAAATTCTTGATACGTCGTAGGCCTATAACTAATTTTTTTAAGACACAAAAAGCATATTTGACGAAAAACTTGGGAGCAGTTAATGAGATACGGGTTTTTGAATATTTAAAGACTGGGAAAAGTTGCAAAAAAAAGGGTGGTTACGCCCCTTTTTCCTCCAATTTTTAGATATTCAAAAATCTGTGTCCCATCAACCCTTTCCAGTCGTATGGCATCGCGACGACGCCCTCTTTGACCATACTTTATATGTACATACGCCCTGTATAGCTTTCATGATAATTTCTTTATTGCTATGCTGCCTTCTGTAGGATTGTTTGTGATTGATGTAGGAGTATTTCTGTAGAGGGCCGTCTGTATCCAGACCAAATAAAATGCCTGTGCCAAGTAAAAACACGACATTTAGTGTAGAGGATGTAATTTCTGACTCTTGGTACAGCCTCAGGCAATGGTAATGGGGCAGACTGGACGGGTTAAACGCTCCCAATTTTTTCGTCAATATACATTTTGTGTCTCAGAAAAATCAGTTGTACAACATATAAAAAAAAAATTTTTTTTTTTTTTCCAGAGCCTGGCTTTAATATGGCCCAAAATTGGGCTTCGAGGCAATATTAGATTATTAGATAGGCAGATTAACATTTTTTTACTACACAAGTGTCAGTAATTATGGGTTGATCCTCAACTCGTTTTCTAATTTATTTGCTGTTTGCTTTGGTTTGATTGATGACATAGGCCTGCAACATCTATGTAGTCGTTAAAACAGATGCAAAATTATAAGCCTAATGAAAAATATTACTTCAGGCTTGATCTGGTGGACTGTGGATAACATGCACTTGCGAACAGGAAATGGCCCGTGAGCCTACCTCGGGCAACTACATCTCATACACCATTAAATTTTCACTGTGGGGAGACTCCTTTTTCCGCAAAGCATAATTCTGAGATATGAATATAATCATATTCATTCCAAGGGTGGTGCCAGTGGGGGGGGGGATGTGGGAGAGAGTAGAGAGCTGTCCTCTCCTCCCACCATCAGGGGGAAAAAACAAATTTCTTTGGGAGGGGAAAAAAATCATGTATTTTCAACATATAGTAGACTCTAAAATCCCTTGAAACCCCTACATTGTCATATTTTTTCGGGTTCTTCGCTTCTTGGACCACTTTCGAAACATTTTGGACATTTTCGAAACCCAACTAGCCCACTTTCGTCTGGGACATTGAACCCCCGCCTGTCCGAGCTCTCGTCGAGCAAATTCTGGTTCCACCCCTGATTCATTTGTTAAGATATTTAAGAGGGCAGATTTGTTTTCTTGAACAAATAGACATACACTCTGATCAATTAGATTGTACATTAACATTCCTAAACAAGAATCTATAATGTCTAAATTGGTTAAAAAATTATTTTTATGATAGTTAATAACACCAATCAGTAATTTTAATTAGTCCAAATTACACAATTACTATTAGAAATCATGGTTTTGGCCTCAGCAATTTTTAAGCACTTTAATCCTATTTCTAATTTAGCAACTATCACCTTTATCCATGTACTTTGCTTGTGAAATGTTATAAGCTGGTCTACTACTAAAGCCAATACCTATGTTTAGGATATCAAATGAATTAAATCTTTAAAGGGAGCCCATTAATGAAAAATATTTTTGCCATAAAAACATGATATGCTGATTTTATAGATTTAGTGTTAGTTGGGTTTGGGCAACAATATTCATGGTCGAAGCTGTAGAAAAATGGTGATAATATTGGTAATAATAATATTTTATTTAATAAAATAAATAATCGACGTTCCGGTAATTTCACGCTAAGTACAGGTTTTTTTGCAGCTCAGTGTGTTTCATTCAGTTTACTTACTAAATTATAATAAGAATTTTTTAGATATACAAATAAGGGTAAAACTTTACTGTAAATTGCTTGGTTTAGTTTTTGTTATGCTATTTATCTGTTTGTTGTTTTTGAACTGTCTTTTGCTTTCCTTTGTTTATATTTTATATTGTTAATGGGTGCACCATCTAAGTGATGGGTGCCACTGATCTAAAAGTGAACCCAATAAATCTTATCGTATCGTAAGAGTTGATTTTATGGATGGGCAAGGGGAATAATATTGGGCAGGAGGAGGGCCCTGAAAGTAGCTTTAGACTGGGTGGGAAACTTCAAAGCTGGATGGCCCCACCCACACCTCCGGTCATTGGATCAAGCACATATGGAACACATACTCACTTCCCTGGGGAGATTTCCATAATTGCAGCTGTAATTTGCGCATTTTGGGTTTGAACCTACCAGGTACCCACTTGTACTCCTGGGTTGAGAGAGCTGTAGATAAAATGCCCAGCCTAATGGCACAAGCAAAATGCACAGTGGGACTTCTCTGGAAATAAATCCTGTGTTGGGATTTAGAGGGTTATCCCAGATATCAATAATAATGACTTGCTTGTTTTCTCTTTTTTGTTTCTCTGTTTATTGTTGTTCCGATTTTGTGATGTTGTTCTATTGATATCGAATAAATCAAATCAAATCAAATCAAAGTGAGGGAGTAAATCTCCAACCTTAAAGTTAAGAAGCAGAAACCACTGTGCCAAACCACTCCTACAAGCTTCGTTACTGTATATTTAGACTACCAACTAATGCAAAAAACTAATAGCCATTTGGTCACAATATTTAAGTTGAATGTTGGGTTAAGCTCATTCACAGGCATTTCAGGTTGGGAGAAGCCACATTAAGCAAATCTTAACCAATGTACTTAAAACATTTGTTTGCATTTTGCTACAATGATGATGCCCAATTATATTCAATTTCTATTATTTTTTAAAATATTATTTAATATTTTCTTCCTTTCTTTCTTTCCTTACTTTACACATTTGTTTTACTTTTGTCTTATTGTTCTTTCCTTTTCCATTTTCTTTACCTTTTCTTTCATATTTGTTTTTCTTTTTTATTTCTTTTATTATCCATTTTCTTTTTCCTTTCCAACTTGAAAGTAAAACTAAGTACAGTTCTCCCTCTGCCTAAAGACCACTTCCAATTTCTTTCCTTACTTTACACATTTGTTTTACTTTTGTCTCATTTTTCTTTCCTTTCTTTTCCATTTTCTTTACCTTTTCTTTCATATTTGTTTTTCTTTTTTATTTCTTTTATTATCCATTTTCTTTTTCCTTTCCAGCTTGAAAGTAAAACTAAGTACAGTTCTCCCTCTGCCTAAAGACCACTTTTCTGTGGTCCCAAATTAACAAATTTCTTTTCTTATTATTCTAATTAGAGACCAAAGCTGCTAAAAACCATGGGAACCTCAGTCTCAAAAGTGGTCTTTAATTGGAGGGACACCTTTAATACTGTAGTATCAGGATCTGAAAAATGTTTTGAATAAAAGGGTGGGAACATGAGAATCACTATTGTGTCATAGGTTACTACAGTCATGTGTCATCGGCAATTATTGCATTTTCATGGTGTCTGCTCATCATGATTCACTAACACGTACCAAGGATACCAACAACCTATTAAAATTATGACATCCTGTATAATATGTAGATAAATAAATTTTTAGATTATTTAGAAATTGGCAACCATAGAGGCAACAACAGTCACTATTGTCTGAAAACAAACTGTTATTCCACACCAGCAATCACGTTTCCTAAACCACAGACCAGGAATCATTAGCGTTTTTGGTTTTTTTTGCATCATTTCCTTGATATTCAAGGTTTATAGAGTATTGAATGTTAACCTCTCATATAGAGTAGAGTCATTACAAAAATCATCATTCCTTGTATGATACCACTCAGCTCGATTGATTGGACTGAAAAATAAATAGTTTCAAGTTACATTCCATAAACATGCACAAAAAAAGTGTATTATCTATCAGCGTGATATTTCTAATTTTGAAATTCAGTATTAACTTTCCAATGATTGAAAGCCAAGAATTTGAAGTATTGACTGGATCTATAGAGGTTGAAGTTTGCAGTTTAAATCATCGTTTGGAATTCTGTTTTAACGATGTAGTCGAACGTGGTTCATCTTCAAAAACGTCATCTAGAATTCATTTTAACTTGAACCCTTCAATTGAGGGTTTAACAAAACATCTCACCATTCGCATTGATATGGATTGTAAAAATTGCGACTTACTAAACTTTATCACCAAATTACCACTTGTTTCAGAGTATGAGACAAATTTTACTGAATGTGCTTCAGGGAATAAGATCAATAGCATGTTGGGAGATATTTATCAGGATTTGATTGGTGGAGACTCAATTAATAGCAGTTGCTGTTGGAACACAAACAGTTCTACATGCTGGAATATTACTTGTAAAGAACTAAGTAGGATCACGACTCTGCCTCTGCCCACGGATCCACAGCGACACATACTTGCTATCTTAGTAGTAGTAATTGCTATTATTGTTGTAATTTCAATTATTGCAATTTTTGGAGTGTATAGACATGGAAAACGGATGATAGTTGAACTTGAAAATGACACCCAGCACAGGTCTCGAATACAGCCAGGTTCCTCAATGCCTTCAATCAATATGAATATGTCAGACGAATCTACGGACCTGGAGGACTCTGGTCCAGTTCCTATGGCGATAGAAATTGTCGAACCAAGTAAGATCAAACCAACAAGCTTTGCGATGATTGGGAATCCATTGAGTCGGAAGCGTTCCGTTGACAGTAATGGATATGCTGTACCTGACGTTCACAGCATTAGATCCCTGAATGGCTTTCCTAATAGAAATATGTCTACTATTGAAATAAACAGTAATAATGTCCAGGATGGCTTTGGTAATGGACATATGCCTGTCATACCGGAAGATGAAGATGGATATTTGATGCCAAATCAGCAAAGCCATCAGCGTAAAAAGGTCATTGGCTACTTTACTAGAGTGCCGTCGGATATTGATGAAAGTGATGCCTAAGATAAGGGCGATTTTTTAAGACATCTAAGTTTATTTGTTACATTTGTGTGATGTGGCCTTACACTGTATGGACATGATAATGTCATATTACCAGAGCTCTATCAGATGTTTGTAGTTGCTACAGAAATTTTGCCTAATTAAGAATGTATGGAAATAGTCCAGAATACTACAAATAATTATCAATAGGCCTATCAATAGGTGTACACATCACTGTCTTAGGTCCAGAATAAATTACGTTTCCATGAGGGTTTCGCGAGCAATGTTTTGAAACACGTTTCCTAGTTTGCAAATTATCGCGCTTGACTATCCTGCTAGTCTGAACGCCCGGCAAAATTAAGCCGGGCTTGACGTTGAGTCGGGCTTAACTCAAGCCTGGCTTATCTCCAAGTCTGAACGTAGCCAAAGTGTGAAGAAAGCTTTTGAATTAGAGTACAAATAAGTATGAAACGTCGCAAGTACGTATAATTTATTGACGTTGACGTAGGAAAAATTTAATTTGATTCACAATATAGGTTACTATGTTGCTACACAAATTTCTCAAGTTCATAAAATGCATTTCTGTAACTGTGTCTTCAGATTTCCGTAGTTCATGTAAATGAAATATTTCTGTAGCAAGATATAAGTTGCTCAAAATTGCAGGTGCATCTGTGGAATTTCAAACAAACTTGACAGAATGAAGATTTATTGGTCATTATCCAGGATGATCGGGCCAATTTCATTGGGTCCGATCATCCTGAAAATGTTCTGGACTCTATACCTCTTAAACATGAATAATGCATGTACTCACATGTTAAACGAGTCATCTTCTTTAGCCGCAAACATTTTTTTTTTCACTCTCGAAGCAATGTAACAGGATAAACTTCTAACTACATGTAGTAAAATAATAATAATGCATGTACTCACATGTTAAACGAGTCAAATCTCTGTAGTATTTTTATCTATTTCTGTACATCTCTAATTAGCTAATATTTTCATAGAAAATAGGCCAAACTATAGAAGTTCCGTAGTTTAGAAAGCTAAACTGTAGCTTTGCTGTGCAGGCACACGGCCATATCAACAGTTTGGTTAGCGTTACTCAATAACTAGGGGTATTTCTCGGTGTTGTGACATTAGGGACGCAGAACTCTATACCTCTAATATGAATAATGCATGTACTCACATGCATGTAACTACATGTAGTAAAATTCAAACCTAATAGGTTGTAAAACTATCTTGTAAATCTTGCCATAGTAAGATGCTTTTTAATGATCATTAAGAATTTCTACTTAATGTTACAATATTTCAGTGGTGTATCTAGAGGTGTGGGGCGCACCCCTGCTAAAGGAGCTTGTTCCCCTCCCTATTGAAAAGTTAGAAGCATAAAAATCATACTCAAGTACAGCAGTTTAAAGTTTTTTTTATATCACCTTATTTTGTGAGCTAGCACCCACCCACTTAATCATCAAGCTTCCCCCTTCACCTTTATGCTTTCCCCCCAAGTCCCCTATTTCAAGTATCCTACTGTAGATACACGACTGGAATATTTACAGTTTAGCAAGATTGTAGGTATAGAATGCTTGTGAGTAGTGAAAGATGGTGGTAATGTATATATTTATAACATATTGTAATTAACTCTTAGAATTGGTATGTATATATTATTTAATGTACTGTATATTTGTAGTCCTTCAATTCTCAGAAGGACTTTTCCACAATGGAACATATAACTTTGCAATAATGGAAATCTATTTCCTAAAATTATTTATTTCTATAGGCTAAAAATTATTTATTTCTGTTGTAGGCACACTGTCTGAAATATGATTTATTTAATGGTACCTACTATATGCAGAAATTAGTGCCTTATACTGTATTTATATTGTGCATATTTAATTTTTTAAATAAATATTGCAAGCATTTGTCATAACTGTTTTGTTTTCTTTCTTGGGGGTAGAGAGTGGGGGAATTGTGTTTCTGCATGATAAATACTTCCCAGCTAGTGTAGAGAGTTATTTGTTGTGTTACAGTAGTTGTTGAGCACAGTAAAAGTAATATTAGAACTTGGCATAGAGTGATATAAAAGCAGTCCATTAAGGTTTTTTCGAAGCACACTGAAAAATCGAAGTTTGTGTGCAGCCTTCAGTGTTAAATCAAATTTTATTTGGCCCTCCAATTCATTTTTATGCTGACCTCTGATCTACATGGATTTCCAAGTTTCAAATATTGGCAGGCGTGAGACTTTTGTTTTTTGAAAACAAGGAGGGGTGGGATGGGGATGGGGGGAGTGTTGGGGCATGCACCCGTGAGATCTTTTTTCTTGGTGCTAAGAAATGCATTCTCTCACTTTTAGGTAGTCATTTTTCAAATAAGTTTTGTTATCTTGACAATGAATTACAGTACAATCAAACAGTCTCCGAGCCTATCATAATGGCATGAGCCTCGCCTTGCCCATGGTAGCATGCACATCCTACTCTGTTTGACATTGCTTAGTGAAGCAACAACATATCCACACTGGTGGTTACTCAGATAGTTTAAAACCCTGTTCGGTACAAAAGCCTATTAGGGCCACTGAAATATGTATATTTTATGTCTAAGTAAGACTTATTATGTCGTAATTATTACAACCTATTATGTCATAATTACGACTTGCGTCATAATTAAAACTTATTGTGTCGTAATTACGACATATGTATACTGTATCGTAATTATGACATAAAAGTATATATTTGAGTGGCCCTAATAGCATTTCGTTGTTCAGCAACCATTTTAGCCCGCAAGCCAAATTAAATGTCATAGCACTCTGACACGATCCGACCGAACCCAAATTTATTACCCAGATTTCGTGGTAAAATGATTGAATATGGTATTATGTTTTTTAGCAAGGGAAAATAGATTCTGGAGGTCAAAAGTACTGCCCACTTAATTCTTTTTTCACTTCCCATCTCCACCCCCTCGGGGAAACGTCCCCAGTCGGGCAAATCGTGACACCACCCCTGTCCACATATACCAACACAAGTTATCAAATCTTTCACTAAGTTACAGATCTTCTTCTTATCGAGTCACTACGTAGCTAGTGTGTATGATCTAGCTTACGTAGTTTTGTAGAAGGATTCGCAGGTTGGGTGGGTACCTGACATGGGCCGCATCGTAAGCGCTCCTACTGTGGCCGGACAGGGGACTAGAGATGGACCAGTACACCGGGCTAACCCCCTACTCTTCTCAAATGATGTGCTGGGTTCTTTAAAGTGCACACGAGCCAATTGTGTACACTGGGCCTCCTTATCTGAGAAGACTTGTTCCACCACTGGAACCATAGTTCGAACCAGCGCCGATATTATGGCTGTAAGTCACAGTTCCCCTGTCTTAACCGCTCGGCCAATCGACTTGCCTAGTTACAGATTAGAAAAGTCTATGATATTGTCATGTATTTACAGTGTTTATTACATGTGTACGACTACAATAAATTGTCGTTCTATTGCAAACCACAGCTGCGGTATGTTTGAGTTGTTTTGTGTGCCTGCTTGTGTCTTCCTACAGTAACGAGGTATCTAACAGATATAGAGATATTTTACTACATAAATTGGTACTACATAAACATGGACACATTCAATTTGATGACGTTTTCTCGTTACAATTTTCAGCTGAAAGCCAAGCATTAAAAATAACTAAACTAAAACTGTTTATGTTGTCATATCTGAACTACAAATGTTTTGATAGCATATTATTTTTTAACATAAAACTATTGACAACATGCTTATTACAAAAGTAAACTGACGCACATGGCCCACTTTTATGCCCTTTTGTTAATACCGCAATTTGGTTTCGTTTATCATCAATTGTATTAAGTAAAAGTTTCCATGTTCTGCAGAGATTATGATTATAATATTTCTGCAACGTTGTGGAACTGTTGTTTAAAATAACCTCATCACCCAGTATTGCTGCTATTTTGTCATTGAGTGCTTGTTATTACAGTATTGTTGTTATTGATGTTTGTTGTTGCTCTTATATTACTGTTGTTATTGGCATTTCCTGCAGGAAATGCCATTTTTGGATCTCATTTTTTTTTTCTTCTATGTTTTTGCACAGAGGGTTTTTCTAACCGATACTTTCCGTGGTTGGATCTTCTTCAAAATTTTCTTTAGTGTGATTTTTTTTTTTGGCATATTTTTAATTTTTTATACTTTTAATAATGATTCCCTTCTCATTATGTCAATGAGATAAAGCCCTTCTGTTTTACAAGAATAGTAAGTCTCCTTTTTATTGCTGTTATTGTTTTATATTGCTATATGATATTATTAACTGTCAGTGGTGTAACGCCTACGTGCTCTTTTGCGGCAGTCCATAGGGCCCAGGGCCCTCCATCCAGCACCCTGACACAAAGGAGCCTTCATACATAACAGCATAATGTGTTTCACATTAATTGTAGGACATATATCATATTATATCCAGTGGCGGAACAAAGAAGGCCCTGCCGACCCAAGGCCTCCTCTAATTTTTTTTGATGGCAATAAAGAAAATATATATATTCAAATTTAAATATGTGAGTGCCATTTCTGGCCATCTAGAGGTGCCATAATCATAATTTTTCTTACCTCAGCCCCAACCATGGTGTGGGACTAAGGTGGTATAGACCCTCCATTTGTGGAGGACCCCTTTTTCAAATTCCAGGATCTGCCACTGATATCATATCATTTATTTTGTTTAAAACATTTAGAATACAATGACAAACTTAATTAAAAAACGAGCACATTTAAAATCCCACAATGAATTTGGCGACTGGGACTCAAAAAAGGCCCCTTTTTTCAACTGTGTATACTGAATACCATAACAGGAATACAAGTTACTCAACTTTATGTGCAATAACAAAAAGTCCTGTTCTTTTCAAATACATAAAAATCATTATTCTGTATAATAAACTATTACACAATTTTCTTTGAATTTCTTTTTATTATAGTAAAAACTGACTCAACAGAATATGGGACACTATTTGAAGAAACAAGTCCAAGAATAAAAAAAATGAAGTCTACAAGGAAGCCATTATTAACAGAGATGAAAGATAGTACAGATGTGAAGGGAACTATAAGAGGTCATGACAGCGGGGAAGTTACTAGCCAGGGTCATGATGAAATAGATGATGCAATCTCAGACACTGGCTCTGATAAAGTAATGAAATATGGATGGCAACATTTCTACAATAGTTTTCAAGGGGGTAACAGCTCCGATGACGAGGATAGAGGTGATGAGAATGAGAGTGAATCAGATGTTGCACAGGTAGATGAGAAAGGGCTCACTAATAATGGTACCATTGAGGATTTTATTGCTGATGATGGTAATGGCACTTTGAAATATTGCGATGCAAATATGCATCCTAAAAAGCCTGTGCCAGGAAAAGAATATGGAAGTGATTCTAATAACAAGGTATCCGATTGGCTCCAATACTTGCCATCTCGCTTTTCAGAGAGTGCTAATAAAAATTCTTGCCCCAAAAGTGAGGGTGAAATTGTTGAAATATGGGAAGAACCAAAAAAAGAAATGATTATTGTAACAAATGTTGAACTGATAAATGAGACTGAGCAGGCAAGTGAGAAAAACAGCTTTGAAAAAATCAAATTTGCAGGTAATAGGCAATGTTCATCTCTTGAGAGAGACTATAAGAATAACATTGACGATTTCGAAAAGAATGCAAAACATAAGGAAGAGGGCGTGAACAGACATCTTGACTACAAAGATGACAAGTTTATAAAAATAATTGAAGATGATAGTCAGAAAACAGAAGAATATTCATTTCCTGATCGTCATCTGAAGTTTGCTGGAAGTGACATAATCAGTGATGATATGCCACATGAACCACTGTATTCTAAAGGAAAAAAACTTCTCAAAACTATACCAGATACATTCGATAATCTGCCATTAAAAAATGCAGAGAAAATTGATCAAGCAAAAAATACCGAATCAAAACGTGTCGATTTGCCTCCTAAAATTGCTGAAGATGTAACATCAGACGATGATTCAACTTATGTGTCTGGTCAGCTTTCTCAGGGGCAGCTGTCTGATATTCCTGGAACGCCGGATTCAAAGTCAAACGCAATGAATGCGACTAGTTCCAATAAGTACAAGGCCCTTACTGTAGCTAGAGTGTATACAATGTCTAGTGGAAGATTTATAGATAGAATCCAAAAGCATTGAACATTAATCAAATTTTCATATTTTCCAAAGCAGGTTTGCGTAGTTTTGTTGATTATATTGATGAAGGAAGTGACATTGATGGTGATGATGTCAACAGTGTTGATTCGTAATTTATGTTCAATTAATTTCCGTGCAAATATGTAACAAACCATCAAAAAGGTTAACATACTTTAGTTGTGTGATATTATATACTTTCTTTAATAATTGGAGAAGAAGATTCGGAACCAAAATTGGTGCAATTTTTGGGGCAATAGTCTGGCAATTAATGATAAAATGATTTCTTACAAATGCAGTAAAATTAATTCAGTTTTGTTCAATTGGATAATATCAATTTAAGGCAGGTCATTAGACTGAAGTCCAGTATCAGAAAACATGGCAACTTCAAAAGAAGTTAAATTTTAGCTTGAATATTTTTTTATTAGTAAAAATGTAAAATTTAAAATATTGAAGAAATCTTACCAAAATTTAGATTCAAGTTTAACTGTTAGACATAATGTTATTTTGGTATAAAATCACAAGATATTAATTTACTTTTTATTTTTTAATATGTTTCAAAATAGACTGTATCAGTTGTGATATTATTATGAACTAATTTCATTACCAGTTATTTTAAAACTAATTTATTTAATTACTATATCCCGAATTAACTTTTTATTTATAATGTAATTTTCATTCAGGAATTTGAAATTATTATACCAGTTATTTTATTCCTATTACTAATTTTTTTTTCCTAACTATATTCTCATTTTTTAAACTTTTTATTTATAATGTAAATTCTCATTTAGAAATTTTTAATGACTGTATATTACTAATTAATTTACTAACTAGATTCTCAATTAGTTTGAAAACTATTTTAAACTAATTTTATTACCAGTTATTTTATAACCATTTATTTACAGATTCTAAATTAATTTGTATTTTTTGTAATTTTCATTCAGAAATTTGTAATTATAGTTATTTTATTATACTGGAGGGTGTGCTTGCTTACACTCTATTTTCATTTAATTTTGTTTTATAATGCAATTCTCATTCATTAATTTGTTATTAATTTATTTATTATATAGATTCTCAATTAGTTTTCAAACTAACTAATTTTATTGTAATTAGGATTCAGGAATCTGTGTCATGTATTTAATTTGTTTCTGGCAATGATACACAAATACAGTAATGAATGTGTTTTTGAGTGCAATTGGATGGAATTTTTTACCATTACGTAGATGAAAAATAGATTGTTCCATTCAAATAAGGCATAACTCAACAAGGCATAATGAAAGATATTCATACAATCTGTAGGTGGTTTACATTATATAAATGTCTGTTAATTCCTATGCTCAATCCGAACTGTCAAATTTTATTTGACGAAAACATGACATGCCTGAATGTGGTCATGATGACATCACATCATGACCACATAGACACATGACTGACTATATTTGGGCAATCAACAGTTTGATAATCCGGACAGAGTATTAGGTGGAATTGACTTTTTTATCAATTTAAACATTACATTTATTTCATGTCACTAATAAATTGTCAAGCATCTAAATAGGTGTTGTATATGTGATTCAGGGGAGCAGGCTGGTTGCCCCCTGGACATTTTCCCCCCGGTATTTTTCCCCCTGGAAGATGTGTATAAGAGACAGATCATATTATATCATAATTACTATGTTACAGTTAAGTAGGTCTAGATGTCAGTATGATTTAAAGTGAATATGTATGTTATAAAATAATTATTTTGTAAGAATTATATAGGTATTGACTTGATCGCAGTAAAAAAAAACATCTAAGATACCTCTACATTTTAAAAATGTTGATTGACAGAATAATCAGTGTAAACAATGTGTAGATTAAGATGATGGAGTACACAAATAAGTTCATTCAATAAGATACCAAGAGTGAAAATCAATTTGTATAATAGTATTTGAAATAAACATTTTTTGTTATACCTGCACCTTAACACCTCAATGTTTTGTCTCATTATTCTTCAATAAATGCTATTGTAGCTATAGCTTTTAAATTCTATTGTCTTGCTTCCATTATAAAGAGAACAGTACATGTTCCCTTTGGTGTCGCCTACTCTTATGTCTTTTCTGTCGCAAATGTCCAGGGGGAAAAATGTCCAGGGGGAAAAATGTCCAGGGGGAAAAATACCGGGGGAAAGGAAACAGTTAGGGGGGGAAAATGTCCAGGGGGAAACCAGCCTAGCCCGTGATTCAGGGCAGAAGAATATCCTATTTTAAGTTTACAGTACTTTTTACTGATATACTTTTTAATAAAGGTTGTTATTAAAATAAAATAATTTTGTGTAACAGTTATTTTATTACTAATTTATTTATTTACAGTATTTGATTCGCAATTATTTTAATTTTGTTCAATGTGATTCTGTTTTTTTGCAATCTCATAAATCTCTAAATAGCAGACAAGATATATTCTTGTAAAACCATGGAGGAAATATATTTATATGTTTCCTCCATGGTAAAACCAATTGAATATAAACAATGACCTAGTTGGCCAATCAACCGCAAGTATATAAAATAGCTGTGTTGTATAATAATGATTGTTTTAAAGTCAGTTTAGAATATTTTTCTATTTCTTAAAATTCTGTTTACCAGATGATAGTCTCAAGTTTTTAGAAAGTAGAGTGGTTTATTAGTAGTGAGAATAATAGCTTTTTGTAGGATTAGTCCATGGAACTTAATATTGTTTTATTTCATTGTGTGGTAATCAGTGGATTTTTTTTATGGTGTTTTGTGGTTTTTCTTTCTGTTATTACATTCCAATGGATAACAGTAATTTTGTCACTTTGATTACTCAGTAAAATCAGTTTGTAATTACTTGTATTTATTCTGGTGTGTTTTTGTTGTGTTTATTGTGTGTTTTTGTGTAACATGTATTCAATTTTTTATTACCAAAATATATTTTTTGTATATTTGTAATTGTATATGCCAAATGGATGCTTTGTATAATGTTTTAAAACAAAATTAGCTGAATTAGTGAACAATGTATTAAAAAATGTTATCGTATGTATCATCAAATAAATTACTATTGTAAAATTGAATTTGATTAGAGCATTTTTTAAATTTATTCTGAATAAGGCAAGACTTTTTTATACCTTGTTTCGCAAACCCGCCAGCCGCCAATAACAATGATTTCTCATAAAAATAACATTTATTTTTTTGTCAATTAACACACTTGCTACAAAAAAAAAATTTAAAATTTCAGAAAAAAAAAAAAAAAAAAACATTTTCGATATTTTTATTACACCTGCCACTGCCTTGAAATCTCCAAAAATAAGATATTGTATATTTCTTCCTAATTATATAAATTTAAAGCATTTAATCATCCCGTTACTACACTGTTTACATTCGCCAATAAATTTTTTTATTATTATTTATATTATTTTCTTCTTTGAATGTTTTTGGCAAAACTGTAGTTGCTAAATAAGAAAACAAAATTTTATTTCGATTTACTTTTCTGCCATCCTAGCTCATTTAATACATAGGTACAGTACTAGTCTGCCGTGAGGACAATATTTTTAATTATTACAGTACCCTATTCACATACTCACATCTACCTACCTACATTGATGTCGAGACTTTAAGCTCTTGGCTTTCGTGTCCATCTTCATAAACATCATCTTTTTCATATGGGCTGAACTTTAAGTGGTGATTTCTGCAGTTTTTCTACTGCTTTTTTTAATTCATTTATTGTTTTACAATCTACTGCACTCTGGGGAGACTTCCGATCTTCAATTGTTGCGTATAAACTTCTTTCTCTGCTTTGTTCTTGTGTTTTGTTTTAAAATTGTAAATGTATGACCACGTTTGGGACCTCGCCACAAAAGGCATTTTCGACTGGTTTATTTTGTTGTCTACAAATTTTCGTTGAGTATTATTTTCATTCGATTGGTTCATAAAATAGACTTCGTTGACAACAAAAATTAACGTAAACCAGAGTGTATTAATCAGCGTTAAATTATTCATGTGACCAAAACATTGGTGAATTTAGAAACAACATCTGCGTTAATATAATTTAAATTAAATTTTAGAAAATAAAAATTATAATATTTACCCACATGAAGTCAAAAAGAAGAAATCTTGGTTACACAGTGTATATCGCGGTAACTATGCAGCCATTTTGTTCTTTCGAGTATTTACAAGTTTTCTATTCGACTGAGTAGGATTTTACCACTGCGCAGGTGGGCGTGGTTTAAGGAAGAACCACCAGTTGAATGGGGTCTATTCTATCTATACCTTTTATCATCCTTAACTATTGTATCAATGATGGTCTTTTTTCACAATACGCTAATGTATATAAATCCAATCTACGTAATCTGTTTTCATAGGGAAAATATTGCAATTCGGGAATCAACCTGTTGCACCTTCTCTAATGCTACTTTATCTTTACGTAATTGAGGTAATGCAGCCCTATTACAATACTCTAATACTGGTCTAACTATTGTTTTATAAAGCAGCATTACCGACTCAGAATCTAGATAGCTAAAAGAACACTTAATCAACGTAAGACGTCCATGGGCTTTTTTCGTAGCTTGAATAACTTGTTTATCTGTATGCATTCTGTGTACTATCATTTAAGACTCATTTCAATACCGTAAAACCTCGAATTGAGGCCCTGGGCTTTTTATTGCAACTTTGGATGGGCTTCTTTTCGAAATGGGCTTCATTTCGAGGCTACTTTTGCAAAGTAAAGAGGGTGGGGGGGGGGCTTCTTTTCAAAATGAATGCTGTAAATTTTGTGAATTTGTACTACAGTACAGTATAAAACAATAAATAAGGCCACTGTAACATCAATCTGTATAATGGATTGTATTTAAATGGCATTAAGTCACCTCATTAAACCAAGCTTGTTTTTAATTTATTTTGTTTACTGATATTCATGTACAGTGTTTGTATTGTATTATTTCGAAAAAAGCCTATGCTATTTTGAAAAGCCCATGGGTTTCTTTTCGAGGTGGGCTCCATCTCGAGATTAAGCCCACTTTAATTCGGTATGTTGGTCTCCTATTGAGGCTGTGCAAGTTCAGTTTCGTAAAATTTAATCTAAAACAATAATATAAAATTAGGAAAAACTGTATGTTGGCATGAGATGAATCACAACACTTGATTAACAATGTCAGTTTTTTATGTTATCTACACTTTATTGTACCCTAAATATGACAGGACACACCCTTTTAAAAGAGAACTATCAAATTGAAATACATAAGAAACACTGTAAAGGCATTCATGCAAGGATTCTAATACACCTATTTACATTATCAGTGATCATAGATAGTAGTACCCTCCACCAGAAACCAAAATTTAATACTGCCATCATCATTTATAGTACACAACACAACATTGATATTCATGTACAGTGTTTGTATTGTATTATTTCGAAAAAAGCCTATGCTATTTTGAAAAGCCCATGGGATTCTTTTCGAGGTGGGCTCCATCTCGAGATTAAGCCCACTTTAATTCGGTATGTTGGTCTCCTATTGAGGCTGTGCAAGTTCAGTTTCGTAAAATTTAATCTAAAACAATAATATAAAATTAGGAAAAACTGTATGTTGGCATGAGATGAATCACAACACTTGATTAACAATGTCAGTTTTTTATGTTATCTACACTTTATTGTACCCTAAATATGACAGGACACACCCTTTTAAAAGAGAACTATCAAATTGAAATACATAAGAAACACTGTAAAGGCATTCATGCAAGGATTCTAATACACCTATTTACATTATCAGTGATCATAGATAGTAGTACCCTCCACCAGAAACCAAAATTTAATACTGCCATCATCATTTATAGTACACAACACAACATTTATTTTGCATCTTAAGTGGAAAGGCATGTAACAAATATTAAGAGAAAATGGCTTCAAACAATCTAAATTTAAAATCAAGTTGTGGTTAAATAAACCTACATAATGAGGCCATCATGCATACAAATATATATACAGTGCTACTAGATTGGTGAATCTCAATTCAACATTGTCATGTAGTGTCACAGTTGAATCTTTATAATAAAAAAAAAGTTTTTAAGAGATTTAATGAGAATATTTTCAGACATCATATTTTGGCAAAAGTATGTTCCACCCTACAGAAACATCCATAATCTTGAAAACTTTAAAAAATTCTATTGATATAGTAACTAAAGCCCATTTCACACTATCAGACTTTGTGACAAATTTTGTGTGATATATCACATAAAATTTGCTAGTGTGGACAAAGCTAACTGGCCAGTACTGTATAGATTCATAGCCCTAGAAAATCGTAAAACAGCATTGGACCACAATGTAAAATGCCATATCCGTAGCACATTTCAAACTTGTATCTCATTCTGTTGTCAGTTTTACATGTGCATCAGCAATGCTTAAATCTCTGTCCTGATTATCAAATTTTCTTTGACAAAAAACTGTTGTATACCCATAGTCATGATGTGCCTATATATGGTCTTGATGTGATGTCATCATGACCATATTTAGGCATGTGACAATTTTTTTTCAAATAAACTGTGTTAGCCTGTCTTGCAGCATCTTCATTCTAAAAGGTTAAATTACAGTGCACAATATTACATAAGCTTCAAAAAGACTAATAACGATTTGCTTGCCTTGGTGTTTTCATAAGGTTACTGTGACATATTATCTACAACAAATTAATGTTCTGTTGCAACATTAATTTCCTTGACTTCCAATAATATAAAAACATATAATTTCAGTCTTGTAATACTTGGCTCATTTTTCAAAATTATACAGCATTGAATAGTCAGTGATTTTTTTCAGCCCTCAAAAGGTATCGTTAAATATCAAGATTTTCCTGCCATCGAAATCCTGTATTAATTTTTAAAAATTTAATGACACTCACCACAGACAATTAGAATTAAATAATTGCCTTTAAAATATTAAAATATAAAATGGTACGTTGTGCAATATTTTCTGATAACTTTGGGCCCAAAACCAGGTAGACAGTTTTATATAAATTATGAGCGTGAAACTTTATTTCAAGATTGTTCAAATGACCATGAAAATCAACACATCAGCATTTAAATTATATAAAAAGTGAATTAAAATTAAATTAAAATGTTGTAGTGGTTAAATGATCAGTGTGCTCTTCCACCATCTCGACTGCAAAAGTAAACAGTAAGTAAAATAGATTACACCTCCCCCATTTTCAAAATCCTAGATCCACCTATTAACGTTCCCACAACACAAATGCTTATAGGCTCTTCAATACTATCCTAACATTAACACGCCCACTTATGAAGCCTTAGGTAAAATCTTTTTAAGCTTAACTTTTCATTTTAATTTCCTAGCCCCTCCCCCTGATATAAACACATTCAAATTGTTTAAAATAGGTAGCCGCGGCAGTTTTCAGCACCACATCGACAAGGGATTGGCTCAAGCTTGGCTACGGCTGAGTCTTCAGATAAATTGTTTCTATGTTGGATTTCAGATGGGCTCTCTATACTTGGTGCTTGAGACATGCCAGTTGCCCCTAGAATAGAAATGACAACATAATTGTTGAGTAAAATATAACAATAATGAAGAAAAGTTTTAAAATTAACATTATAGCTTAAATTTCTAAAAATGTTATTAAACCTAACTACAAACTTTGCCTCCATTTTCAAATTAAGAGTGAAAATAAAAATTTATGACAAAAATCTGTTTCTTTATATTCTTTTTGATGGAAAATGCGAGGGTTTGGGACTGTCATTGTATTGATATGTGCTGTAGATTGTAAAATCCACACAAACAAATGACTAACTACTGATTGGGTTTATTCCTTTGAATGTGTCATGTACTAGATTAATCAAGAGGAAGAGCAGGTTCTCCTTGAAGTAACAATAGGCATATGAGTATCTGAACAATTATAGAGGGCTCCATACCTTATTAAGTGGGCTTAATTCTATATAAAGAGTTTCTAAGAGTGTCAATCAACTGACCAATTAGAATAGCTGGTTTTTGTCCCACAACCTTCCTTTAGGCGAGATTTTTTTTTATACCTTGTTTTGCGAACTTATTTTTGTAAAGATCATTAGAGGAAGGCAGGAAAAAAAAAAATGTTGTTTCCTTATTTAACAAATAGTTTTACCAAAAACATCCAGATGAAGGAGAAAACAAAAACTAAATTTTATTGGTGAATGTAAAACGGTGTAGTAATCAATCAAAATTCAATCAATCAATCAATTTGAAGTCCGTAATTAATTCATGCTAGCATGGGTTGGACTGAGATGGTTAAATGCTTTACATTTATATAATTAGGAAGAAATATACTGTACATATCTTATTTTTTAAGATTTCAAGGCAGCGGTGGTCTTAATAAAAATAAAGAAAAACTTTTTTTTCTGAAATTTCTATGTTTATGTGGCAGGGGGTGCGCTAATTGGCCAAAAATTAAATATATAATTTTATTCAAAATCATTAATATTGGTGGGTGGTGTTTTGCCATATGCTGTCATTTTGTGCGACCTTTAAGCACAAATATTTAAAGGGCGGTGCTTGGCGGAACAGTTCATTGAAAGTAAATGTACCTGTCATTTGGTAATCAAACGTCAGCTCCTCTTCAGCTTTGATGTCTCTACAGGCAAATAAAGCAATTCTAGGAAGTCGCACATCAAGGGTGTCAATCCAAACACCATACACTACCAGATTAGGATCACACTGAAAAAACAAACATTCAGAATTAGAACCGAAAGGTCCACTTATTAATCTCGGATAAGAAAGTATAATCTATACTTCAAGTATTGAAATGCACGCCATCGTGTTTGGATTCAATATTTCGACATTAATTATGTCATCATCAGGAATGAACAGATGACATAATGTTGGAACATTGAATCCCAACACAATGGCGTGCACTTCAATACAGTATTATACTTTTTATTAGGATTGGTGTTAAATATTTTGGAGACTATTGTCTCCACTGGGGTAATGTACATTGTTATACTGATTATTTCACCCTAATAGCTGGGTTTCGCCATTTTAAGTCTTTGAAAAGTTTACAGATTTCAAAGACGCACAAAGGTTTCCAAAACTGTAAATTGTTGTAATCTTGATATCATTTTTTCAAAACTAACAAATTTAATAAAAACAATGTGGATCTTATTATAAAAATGATAGCAAAATAAATATTTTATCTTTAATGTAACTTACAGAATGATTGACAAAATGAGCTATATTGCCGTACTTTCCAGCATCTACTACATAAGGGCAATCACTTTCATTGTAGTCCAGATCAAATAAGTATGTTCGCCCATTACAGTCATACTCTTGGCCTCGCCTTTCAGCTTCTTCGTTACTTATAACCTAAAAAATATAAAATTCCATACTTAATCTCTTCAACAATTATAAATAACATACAATAAATTTTCATTGGGAGCAGTTGACACAGTGGTTTTGATTCAGGCTGTCAACCTTGAGGTCAGGGTTCAATCCCACACTGTGCATCTTGAGGTCAGGGGTTCAATCCCACACTGTGCATCTTGAGGTCAGGGGTTCAATCCCACACTGTGCATTCTGCTTGTGCCCTTGGGCAAGACACCAAGCCAAGAGTAAAAGTTGGTTCGATCACTAATGCGCTTACTACGTCTATGCATTGGGCCTGAGACTCGCGACTCTGTGGTCTGCCTTATGCTTTTATGAAGGACTAAAACCTCATGCCAATATTATTATAAATATAATGTATGATATTTGTGATCTTAAATATAGGCTTTGCCTATGAAGAAGATACAATCTGTTGTGTTGTTTTTAAAAATTATTAGCTGCCTGCTGTTAAATCGTTCCTTTGGCAATACATTGACTATGCTTTTATGTTATTTTGGAATTTTAACTGTAGTTTGAGTTTCTAATTAAAAAAACATTTCTTTGTTGATATTTGTTTGTATTTAATTGTTTTGGATGCAACTTTCATTGAGTAGTGTGGCACTGATGGAAAATTATAGTTCCTAATAAATTATTTTATATAATATATATATATATATATTATTTAAACATGTCTGCTTACCTCACCTACATATTCCATAACAAAACTATTTTTCTTAATATCTTTCAAGCTTTTCACACCCCATCCACAACCATTACTAGTTTTGAAAATAGACAGAGGTGCTTTGCGTCCCTTCTGAACCACTCTGTTCTTGCACTTCGCGCTGCATTTACATAGTTTATTACACTCATATACAGGTGTGCCTGGTTTTACTTTGATCTTTCCTTTCAATGTGTAAGCCATTGCCGTGCCACTGTTATGGGTACAACACCCATCTTCGGCCGCAAAACAGTTCTTACATTCACAACCAACTATCGGGTCTTTGGGTATAAAAATACCCGGACCTGGCTTGTAATCATTGATGAATATAAAATTTTTCGGAGGACCCTCTAAGTCCACATTATTCTCCACAGAGATAGGTGCTCCATCACCGCTTAGCTCATTTATTTTCTTCTGCCAATCTTTCAATTGTCTCTTAACTTTTTTGACTTGATAGGACAAATCCACAGGCACAATCGAGACCTCTAACTTTGCCTTCTTCATTTTTGGTGCAGTGGAATTAATAAATTCCGTTCGGCGTTTACGCTTGTAGCATCTGTGGTGATACCGTTTGATGATTTCTGGACAGTCAAGATTGTCAATTGGTTCCCAGGTATTATCTGCCAAACTGTAACCAGCCCACTTCACCATATACCAATCTGTGCCCTTTAGAAGAAATCAGTAAAATATAATTTGATTTTGCAATAAGATCGATAAATGTATAAGGGTGGTGCCCTCTATTAAATTCTTAACCACACACATTTGCCTTCATTCAATATAATTTTAGGGCTGACAGAAATTTTTATTTAAATTAATTACATTTCTTTTATTTAAATAGATCTGCTGGATTTTATTTTTAAACATCCCGCCCTCATCATTTTTTTAAAAACTAGAGTGATAATCTAATTTTTTTTTCTATCTGCCTTTACTTAAATTTTGTTAGCCCTTCTTTGACATCTTTTAAAACTAAAGTTTGCTTTAAACAAGGTAAAAGGGTTGTCTTCAATTTTTTTTTTTTTTTTTTTCTTGGTATAAATTTCTAGGCCTAGGGCCTATGATTAAAAAAAACTCAGCTCAGAGCTATATTTCTCCATGATTTACCTCATTATCTTTAGCATAGTCCAGGATATCTTCTACTTCAAATACTTCATCATCAGAAGAATCTCCATCTGAATACAAAAAAAAACCAAAAAAAAAAAAAACAGAAATTCAACATTTTAAAATAGGTACTGTACAGTACAAAAATAGGCTGGGCCAAGCTCTACCTAAGCTAGATCTGAACTGTTGTAAGATAGAGTAGGCCTACGCCTATGCGCGCCTACCTAGGCACTAAATTAATTGTAGCCGTAGAAAAGGCATGGTTGGTGGTTTCGTCTAGCCCACCTACCTAGGCTAGGGCCCTAGGCCAGGTTTGGCACCTACGTTTATATTTGGGTTATTTTCGTTTTAGAAAGAGAAATAAATATCTAACAATACAACGTAACTCCTTTTTGTACATATGATACCTGAACGTTGCAAATTTCCCCCTGATACAACTAGGTCTACTGAACTCAGTCTACACTCTAGGCTAGCTTACCATTCAAGTCCTTCCCGCTAGTCGCCATTTTTGTTTTCGGCTGTCCTTAATCCTCATTGGTCGATACAAATTTGTATGATTAGTGTACTGAAAAAAGACAAACCCCGTTTTAAATATAGCAGAGGTACCGGGCCAGGTACCCAGTTAGAATATTTAGTTTTAAGAAATAAATGTTTTGTATTCGAACATATTAATTTATTATGTGTAGGTAAAATTAGCTGTATTTCTTTTATGTTCAGAAATAATTGAATATTCATGATTATGATTTGTTGTAGCGCGGTGGTTGTGTCTATGTCCTCGGGGAGCAAAGGCTGTCTCTTATACACATCTGTGTAAGCCATTGCCGTGCCACTGTTATGGGTACAACACCCATCTTCGGCCGCAAAACAGTTCTTACATTCACAACCAACTATCGGGTCTTTGGGTATAAAAATACCCGGACCTGGCTTGTAATCATTGATGAATATAAAATTTTTCGGAGGACCCTCTAAGTCCACATTATTCTCCACAGAGATAGGTGCTCCATCACCGCTTAGCTCATTTATTTTCTTCTGCCAATCTTTCAATTGTCTCTTAACTTTTTTGACTTGATAGGACAAATCCACAGGCACAATCGAGACCTCTAACTTTGCCTTCTTCATTTTTGGTGCAGTGGAATTAATAAATTCCGTTCGGCGTTTACGCTTGTAGCATCTGTGGTGATACCGTTTGATGATTTCTGGACAGTCAAGATTGTCAATTGGTTCCCAGGTATTATCTGCCAAACTGTAACCAGCCCACTTCACCATATACCAATCTGTGCCCTTTAGAAGAAATCAGTAAAATATAATTTGATTTTACAATAAGATCGATAAATGTATAAGGGTGGTGCCCTCTATTAAATTCTTAACCACACACATTTGCCTTCATTCAATATAATTTTAGGGCTGACAGAAATTTTTATTTAAATTAATTACATTTCTTTTATTTAAATAGATCTGCTGGATTTTTTTTTTAAACATCCTGCCCTCATCATTTTTTTTAAAC